CTACCGTCATGCTGTCCGAGCGGACTAAGACGTGGTGTCCCCTTAGGTCTGGCAGAAAGGTTCAAAGGCCCAGACACACTGGCAGCATTTCCAGGCAGTTGATGTGAAGCCAGCCTTCCTCTTTTGACCAGTGGCCAAAAGCTAGCTTGCCATCGCACTGTGCTCCTTAACCCGTGTTGGAGGCGTCTGTCGAGACTACCTTCCTTCTGCAGACCATTCCCAGGGGCACGCCCCGTTCCATCCAACGAATATCTTTCCAAGGGGCCAGGGCTGATACACAGGCCCGGTCTACCTTGACACGAAGGCGTCTGAGACGCCAGGTGCGGGATGGAACTCGTGGTTTCAGCCAGTACTGAAGGGGCTGCATGCGGAGCAGGCCCAACTGTTGTACTGGAGACACTGAGGCCATGAGGCCTAGCATCCTCTGAAACACCTTGAGGAGGGGGCGAGAGGCTCCAACTCTGAATGAGGCCACAAGCTGCTGAATGGCCAGCGCTCGTTCTGGCATGGCTATAGCCCTCATTTGGGCTGAGTCTAAAACTGTTCCCAGGAGCGATATCTGTTGGCTGGGGGACAGAGTGCTCTTGTCAAAATTGACCCTGAGTCCCAGGCATTCTAAGTGGCTGAGGAGGAGGGATCTGTGAGATAGTAGCTCGTCCTCCGACTGGGCCAGAATGAGCCAGTCGTCAAGGTAATTCAGATTGCGGATTCCCGTCTGTCTCAGCGGGGAAAGAGCCGCATCCATGCACTTCGTAAAAGTGCGAGGAGCTAGGGACAGTCCAAAGGGAAGGACCATGTATTGATAAGCCCCTCCCTCAAGTTATTTTCTCAAGTAGATTAAGTGAAGGCTTATGTTTCACGCAAATCTGCGTCCAGGGTTAAGTGCACATTAGATCTCAGGAGATGAAGCATGGGGCGCATCAGGTGAGATTCTAAATTTCTGACTAACCGCTTGACCTTAGTTTAAGTTGTACTCAGTTACGGTAACCATATATATGATTTCAGAATGAATTAAGTTGTACGAAGTTAGATTAGCTGTCGGGGTCTAGACAAAGATGGTCTAGAAGAACCGCTGATTAATACTTTGAGTGTTAATTAAGTTGTACGAAGCTATCAGCTGTCGGGGTCTAGACAAAGCTGGTCTAGAAGAACTGCTGATTAATGTCAGAATATTATATGGTTAACCATGTATATGATTTCAGAATTAATTAAGTTGTACGAAGCTATCAGCTGTCGGGGTCTAGACAAAGGTGGTCTAGAAGAACCACTGATTAATGTCGGAATATTACATGGGTAGCTGTAGGGGGCTAAACATTAGCCACAAACCTCTGAATAAGAATTAGAATGGCGAGTTTTGTGATCGTGGAGCGTGAGGCATCCTAAAAACAACATAGATTCCTAGTGAACAAGTAAAATACAAAGTAAAGAGCTAATTAGAATAATCGAATGTAAGAATAATCAGAGACCGACAAATAACCAATGTGCCTTTCAACCTAAATTCGAAGTCATACTAAAATGGAGTCAGATTGAGTTAAACCTAAATTGAATAACTCTGCGCGCTGAAAAGACCGAACACGCAAGA